CCTCCCTTCCCTCTCTAAAAATAAATTTAAAATCTTAAAAAGAAAAAGAAATCACTTCTTGAACAGCCTTCTAGAATGAATCAAGCTCGAGAACTGAGGTTCCAGGGTACTCGACAGATGATGGCTATTAGTATTTCAACGACTCAGTCAGGGGGTGAATATTTGCAAAGAGTAGACTGGGTCCTATCAGAAACTTCTCTTTTCCTGGACTCCCTCGCTCCAGATCCTCACAATGACCTTCTGGCTCAGAGATGACCATCCTCTTGCTCCAATCACTCTCTCTGGAAGGCATTCCAGGTTGCTATTACCCCTTACAGTGTGACACTCAGCTGGGTCTCTCGCTAGAGTCTGACCAGCACAGTGTGTGCGTGTGTGCATGCGTGTGGGTGTGTACCACCACCTTCCCGTATTCCAAATGCTGTACTGTGATTATGCAATCTGAAGTTTGGGGGTATGAACGACCATAACCATAGATTATTAAGCGCTTAATCTGCGTGTCAGAAACTATGCTAAGCATACTACGTATACTAACTCACTGAAACTACATGATAACTCTAGTGAGTAGAAATTATATATTTTTTAAGATTTTATTTATTTTAAATGATTATTCTCATGTTGTAGATAAGAAAACAGCAGTTTACAGATGTCATAGGCGTAAGTGGAAGGTCAACACGGCTAAAATACGGTGGAGCTCAGATTCTATCTCTAGTTATCTTACTCTGGAGCCACAGCCTTAACTGTAAATAGAGTCTATACCGCACCACCTCCCACAAATATTAAGAATTTACTCAACTCAAATCTTAGGTCTTTTTTTTTAATATGATTGTAACAAACTAAAGTTTCCCCAATCCTGCTCCTCTTCAGCTACATTTTGAAATTGCACCTTAAATAGCATAACCTCATCCAATCTGATTGCACCACATTTAATCCAGTATATTCCCTCTCCCATTCAGCTTCAAGCCATCGGCAAATGTAATTTGATAAATTGCTGCTAAGAAGGAGGAGTGGAGCAAAGCCAAGGGCAGAGCTCTCCGGCAAGTCGTTAGGCAAATTCCTCTCAAGGTGTATTTCTATCAAGCAGTCATTCCCTAATGGGGGTAATGTTTGACTGTTACCAGTCCACCAAACTGCATGAACGTCCAACCTCCATTTCTCTATCTTATCGATGAGTATTTCTTGAAATATTACATAGTATTTAGGGTCAGTATCTACACCTAAGATTCATTCATTCATTTTAGAAAAGGTTGCCCCAGGAAGAATTGCGGATGGAAGGCAAATGGGTATAAGAAAATATATATATATAAGTATGTGATGGTCTTGAGTGATAGAAATATTTAAGGGGGAAAAATACCACTTCTGCTTCCAGGAGACATTTAAGTTGAGGAAATATATAGGTTGAAGGCAAAAGATGAACAGAACTCCAACCAGCAGCCTTCCCTGGAATCAATACACATCTGTCTAGCCTCATCTGAACCCAGTATCTCACAAGGACAGGGCTCGAAGGGAACCACTGGCATTCGTGCAGAGGAGGACTCGTAGAAGGACTTTTGCCTTTCTCTCCGTGAGCGGGAACAAGGCACTGTTGTGCCTTATGGTTTAGCACCTGTAGTAATACCGAGGAAAGACGGTCCGTGGTCATTTCGGCCCTTTTTATTAGAGAAGAATGAAACCCAAGGCCTGTCTCATTAGCCCTGGTCTCCTAGTCATGCAGAACTGTGAGCCTACTTGATATTAATCCATTCATCAACCTCATCACTAGTCCCACCGAGGGGGGACTTGTACCCTTTGCCTCAAATATAAACAGAGGAGAGCTGGACATGCCAAGCACCCTGGCCAGAACCTCTCACGCCCTCCTAGGACAACCGCTGTGAGGCCCTGCCGAGCCAGCAGGGCATTCTGGGTAATGGAATGCAACACTGTGCAGTTCCCCCACTGGCCTCCTCAGGGTGTCTTGATTTCTGGCTCTGCAAGAGCTGAGGCAAGCAGTTTTTGAAATGGGGGGAAAAGGGTGGAGAGAAGGGGCGGAGGCTTTCTCTAGGCCAACCACAACTAACTCATTCACTCTGTCCAGCAAAACCCAGACAGTGCAATTATCTGGTTAATTTGGCCTTCAGTTGGGAGACAGACTTCCAAAATGTGAGGCCAGCTCAGACTAAACAGTGGCTTCCATCCTGATACTTCTCCCCAAACGCTCGACGATGCATATGAGATTCCTGGGGGCTGCTTGTGGGACCCACCCATCGATCCAGATGGGAAAGAGACAAACAATTCAGACTCTAAAGATGGGGTTTAGGAAGGCATGTCTTCCAGGGAAAAATATCCAGATTATCTGCTAATTGGTCTCCTGGCTCATTTGTCTTCTGGCTTCCAAGGAGGGGGATGGCTGGAAGTCAGGAGGAGTCTAAATTAGCCTATGTTTTCCAGTGCAACTGTAGCCCTCACAGACTGGCCGCGTGTCCCCAGAGCCCCAGGGTGAGTCAGGGCAATTCCCTTGGATGCTCCCGCTCATGGGTGTCGTGCCCATAAGCACGGCCGGGGAGGCGCTGACATAAAAGGGTAAAATTAAAACATGCCCTTGGGGTTTTCACAAATGGAATGAGACCAGGCTAACTAAGCTGACAACGGAGCATTTGCCAGATGGTTTACGGAAAACTCAGATTTTTGAAGGGAGATTAAAAGAGCGGTGATTTATCTCCCTTGGAAGCTGACAAACAGCCTGGAATCTGTGGAATCTATAAGTTATTATTCAGCAAATATTCGCTTCAGTTCTAGTACGTGCCAGGCCCTGTGCTATATAGAGTGAGAGCTAAACAGCAATGGCTTCTACCCTCATGCAAATAATCCTACACCCAAATATGTGGTTGAAAACTCAGACAAGGGCCAGGAAGGAATAGCTGGGGTGCTATGAAAGGGAAAACTCAGGTAACAGCCAGGAACGTAGAGCTGGGGTTACCTGACTGAGATTGGGGTGTGAGGGCTCAGAGAAGGAGTCTTTGAGGAAGGGATTTTTAAGTTAATACTTTTAAGAATCGAATTTGCCTTTTAAGAATGATCCCTCTGGCTTTAGTACACAATATAAATTGGAAGTGGGTGAAGAGATGGAGTTGGAGGCTGCTGACTAGGAAGATTACGGATGAGAGTGGAGGAGGCTGGTTCAACCAAGGATCTGGGCAGTGGGGCTGGAGAGAAGCGGACAGACTAGGAAGCTATGCTATATGGAGTCCACAGGATGCGGCAACTGAATGGGCGTCGTGGCCGAAAGAGAGGGAGGAATCCAGAGGACTGCGAGGTTTCTGGCTAAGGTGGAAGGTAGACAGCGGCACTCTTCGCTGAGAGAGGAAACTTGGGGCAACGAGTAGGTTGGGGTCAGGGGAGCATGACGCGTCCTGTTTTGGAGGCAACCGACCTGGACTTCCCGCCATTCCACACCCTGTACTTCCAGCCTCTTGACCTTGGCTCACCCTGCTTCCCTCCCATATACTCTCCATGTTGCCCCCACTTGTTGACAGCATGCCCGTCCTTCAAGATCCACTTCAGACACCACCCTCTCCTTGAAGCCATTCGACTCCCTCGATTCATGTGGCCTCTGCTGCCCATAGTGGTGAGTGTGGACCTCTCTCTCCTGGGTTCCACCTGTGTGGAGGTTCTGGGAAGACTTACCTTGCCTGCTTCGCTAGACCACAAGCTTTTTGGGACAGAGCCTCTGCTTCTGTATCCTCATTCCCCACGTTAACTAGCTAGCATGCGAGATGTTTGACAAATATTTGTTAAGTGAACAAAAATAACCTGTTCTTTGCCACGGAAGGAAAACCAGTAGACATTGGACAGACTTGAAAGCCACAGGATCGCATTGAAGTGCAAGCTGTAGGTGTTTTAAGATGAAGCCAACTCACATTTGATGCTCAGAAAGGCTTTCTTTTCCTCCAACCCAGCAAGCTCAAGGAGCGCTGAAAATGCCCACCCTTCCACTGTTTTATTGCACTTTTTTGGGTTCATCGTATAGCAGGGACCCTTCCTATCTTATTAACTGTTTGTCTTTGATGAGGATGATGATGATGATGATGATGATGATGATGATAAAAGGGTAACATTTACTAGGTGTTGGTATGTGCCGGGCACTGTTCTAAGTCTTTTTCGCGGACTAACTCAGGTGATCCTCACAGCCACCCCATACAGTTGATGCTGTCATCACCCAATTGTACACATGACGAAAATGAGCTGCAGAGGGCTCAAAGATTACTCCACCAAAGTCACGGTTAGCTGGGATTGGAACCTAGACTCTGGCTCCAGAGCCCATGCTCTGACATGCTAAAGCCAAGCACCCCAACAAGCATTCGCTGAATGAATGGGAGGAGCCCTGGATCTGGAGGCATATTCTGCCCCTGACTTCCTAGGTAGCCTCGGGCAAGTCGTGTTGCTTTCCCCTATAAAATGAGGGAACTGGATGTCGATATTAATGCCAATAATCAGAGCCAATATTCGTGATTCTAATCTCCTTTGAAGTTCTAAATAATTTAATCCCAACAATGACACAAAACAATAATATGAGAGAAAGATGATACAAAGAGATAAAGTCACCTGTTCAATACCCAGAAAAGGAGGGAGCCAGGATTCAAACCCACCGTGCCCCCAGCCCAAGTAGTTCCATGCACGGGGCACCATGGCAGGCACTCAGGGAGGTGGGATAATGGGGCAGATGGGCTTTGGGGCTCCCCACTCCCATTTCCATCAGAGAAGCTCTCCTTGTCTCTATTTTGTAGAATGAGCTCCTACCTGAGATCACCTTTGAAGGAAGGTTCTGCTGCTAACACAAAAAGATGGAAAACCATTGGACTCAATAATTCTGCAACTTAATGAGACTGCCAATCTAAGCCAGAATTGTTCTGGTAATCTTGGTTCATTATAGCCACATAAGATTGGGGGTCAAAGCTGCTCCTGGGAATGGCGTCAGCTGTACAAAAGGTTAGGGTGATGGCGCTAAAGACTCTGCTCCAACCTACCTGCTCCACTCGGATCTCAACCTCTCCATTCGCCTTCTTGCCATGGAAATACTTGGCCCTGTGAAGGAAAGAAGAGATCTCTGAGTGAGGGTGCAGACTGCTTTTCTCTTCTCTCCCTTCTCCCAAAGGTCTTGTTACTCCCTGAGGTGTGTACTCAGATCCATATTCTACCAAACTGCTCATGCCTCCCATTTCCTCTTCATTTCCTCACTATTTATACGTGTCGTGTGGGACAGGGGGAAGAACACTGGATGGGAGGACGGGAGACTCGGGTGCTCGTTCTGCCAAGGTGCTTGACCTTCCTGAGTCTGTGTTATCCTCTCTGAAAGGACAAAATTCATGCCTGCATGATATATACCCCAGGGTTATTTTAAGGATCAGATAAATAAAGGACCCTACATAAATAAATAGTACAAAATTATCTTATTGAGTTACACCCCATATACTTCATAAAGGACTTACTAAATTAAGCTATCCATCTATTTGTTTCTCTATTTGTCCATCTGTCCTGTAAAGTAGACTCTACTTGTTCCTTTGTCCTTCTATCCATTCATCCATCCACCCATCATCCATCCACCCATCATCCATCCATCCATCCATCCATCCTTCCACCATCTTTCCTCCACACCCTGCTTCTGTCTTCCTGTTATCAATAAATGGCATCCCGTCTGCTCATTACTCAAGGCAGAAACATAGACATCATTTTTCTTACCTTTTTCTCTCTCCCTATCCCCACCGGTTCTACATTTTAATTATTTCTCAAGTCCACCCACTTGCCCACTTTTCTTTAAAAGCACCCTAGTCTTGGTCTCCTTCAACTCTCTTCTCATATAGATTCTTTTACCATGCTACTTTTCTCTCATAGCACTTAATACAATTATAATGAGTGAGTGTGCTCAACATCTGTGTCCCACTACACCATAGCACAGTTCCTTGAGGTCAGGAACAATCAACCTTATTCATCTTTCTATTCCCATTAGCTACCAGCGTGCTTTACATGCAGTACGAGCTCAATTAACGCCTGTTGAAAGAGTGAATGATTGAAGAGAGAGATTTTTTTTAAAAAACACTTGTTTTCTGTGCTATAGGCTTTAACATTTCACCTTTCTCATTTAATGCTTACACCCACCACAAAGTAGGCATTTTTATTTCCTATAGACAAGGACACTGAAAACCAGAGAGAAAAAATACTTTGCTTAAGTGACTTGAGTCCTGTCCTTCTAATTCCATATCTATGTTTTTGCTCACCCCTGAAAAACAGCAGTGAATATTTGGGTGCTCCTCCCTCAAAGCAAAAGTAGCAAAAGTTTCCATCTGCTTTTTTAAATTGTTGATGAAACGAATAGTTCTTAGCTACTTGCTGCAATCTGAACACTGTGTTAATAAGCATTTCCAGAAACCTTTTCTGGAGCAGAGACAGCTCTTTGATCCCAATACCCATCTTCTTCTTTTCCTACAGCAAGAGAGTTTACAGACTGGCACCCAAAAACACGTACATCCCAACTCTCCATTCAGCTAGGTATGTATGGCCATGAGATTGAATTCTAAAGAATAACTTGTAATCACGATACTCAAGAATCTTCTTAGCTTCCTCTTCCATCTTCTCCCTAGAACAGCGATGTTGCCATGTATTTTTTTTTCATCCTTTCATTTGAGAAGGAAAAGATTCTTTCCACAAATCCTCTGACCCAGCTTCAGTCTGTCTGCTTCCAAAGTCCATCTACACTTACCCGATGCCAGTGGAGTTCCTCTCTTTCCAATACTGCCTGCATCACGGACTGACGGCTCTAACGTTAACACCCCTTTTTCCTACAATGTGCACGGGCTTAGATGTCAACAAGGCAAGATTTTAGTGGGGCAGGAGCTGTTGGTGCAGACTGAAAGCAAGACTTTGTTTTTTATTGCTCCCAGGATAGCCTTAGACAAAACGTGTGTAAAGTTCAGCTTCATGCAAAGGGAACTTTTTCACATAATTTGTGGATTTTATCACAAATCCTCAAAACGTAGTGTCAGCAAACTCCAGACATGGGGATAAGCCCATCCCTAATGTTTTGCGGAGTCTGGGGCAAAAGAATACATGGAGCCCTATATCTCATTTAAAAATGATATCTAAAACTAGCAAACATGTAAATAAAACACATATGTCTTCCCTCCTTAATAAATGCAATCTCATAATTCTCTAGAAGGATCGTCATTTAGACTTCTCAGAATTCTTGGATCTCTACTAGAACGTGGCAACATGAGAGCTGCTGTCTCTTGGTTCCCACTGACATCCTAATTCTCCTTTCACCCTCCTCTATGTCCTGTGGATGACGGGGCTTCCCGTGCAGGCTTGTGGATGGCCCAGGCCTCATGGCCCATCTTTGTCTCCTCGCCCGTGGCCCCATCAGCCGTGGTCCCTGGGCCATGCCATGGGAGGATGGACCAGAGAATTGGCCTATACAGGCCCTGGAATTAGGCCTGGTCCCTTTGGGTAGGGAGTTCTAGGATGCACGGTCCTAAGGGTGCAATTTGCAGGGTTGTCCCTCCGCTGCTGCCAGGAAGGGAATAGCTGGTAAGGGTCACAGCAGGACTTAGGTCAAGGGGTCCTCTAGTTTGGGTTTAACAGAAGTACTGGGTGAGCCTGGGACCTCGGGATGGTAACTCATGAATGCAAGCACTGCTATCCTGGAAAAAGCATGGATTTGGAATCACACAGGCTTAGGCAAAATCTTAGCTCTACTACTCACTCACCACATGTTCTAAGACAAGATACTTAACCCCTCTGGGTCTCAGTTTCCTCATCTGTCACGTGGTGATACCATCTACCAGCCAAGGTTGTGGTGAGAAACCCACTTGATCTTTCATGTCCCAGGGCAGTAGACTGGAGTGGACTCGGGGCTGGGCTGCCTGGATGCAATCCCAGCTCTGCCACTCACTTGCTTTGGGACTTGGGTTACTCGCTCACCCCCCATGCGCCTCAGTTTCCATATCTGGGAAGTAGAGATAATCCTAGTAGCTATCTATCACAACAGGGCTGTTTTGAGGAGGAAGCTAGACAAGACACAGAAAGCACTTAGAACAGTTCCGGGCACATCGTAAGCTCCGAAGCACACAGCCCAGAGCCTGAAAAAGAACCAGCAGCAACAACAAAGAACTATCGAGGGTCTACTCAGTGCCTATGGGTGCCGAGTGGTCTTACCCTCATGGAGGTTACAAGGCAGAATTACTATTCACTTCGACCTGTCCCATCCATGCAATAAGCGATGGATGATGATGAAAATAACAAACAGATGGCCTTGATATACAAGGCCTCAAGCCCCTTCACATCCCTCCTCCTATCTGACCCCAATGTCAACCCTGGGAGGTGGTCGGGCAGGAACAGTCCCCACATGGTCCAAGTCCCACGACATCTCCAAGTGGCAACAGTGAATGTCACCTTATGCGTTAAAGAAATTGGGGGAATTCAGTCCATACCGTGTGGGTCCTTCATGATCTGGACCCTGCTGACCTACGGCCCATTTCCCCTCCGCTTTTCTGCCCACCACGCGGACACACTTGACTTTCCGATGTGCTTAAACACGCCCTGTGCTTTCGTGCCTCCGAGCCTTCGCACATGTGTGGATGGCTAGGATGGCTTTCTGCTCCTCTCGGTGTGGCTGCCTCTTCCTATCAAGTTTTCCTTAAAAGCAACCCCCTCACCCCCCGCAACGAGGCTGGATTAGGTGTCCCTCCTCTGGGTTCCCACAGAGTGCTGTACTCAACCACTATAATATATATCATCCTGTGTTGTAATTACAGATTGTTTGTCTGCCCCCTCCCCCCACCCCCCGCACTGAGTCTGTGAGAGCCTGGAAACCCGAAACTGTGTCTCAACGCTCCCTGAATCTCCAGTATCCGGCACGAAGTGCCAGGGCACAAGGCACATGTTTAACAACTGTTTGCTGACTGGGTAAATGAGTAATGTCTTCCAGGGATAGGGTATCCAGTCCTCGAGACACGCTACCGCCATCTACCGGTGCACTGTTGTAATACACTTAGGAATCTGCACCGAGATGTGGGGTCAGATTGTGCAGCTTCGTCCAACCTGCGCAACTGGCAGCCCTCGACTTGATTCTAACCTGGAACCCGGAGCCCTTCGTACGACACCAACACCACCCAAGTCGCTCCGGCCTTCAAAGGCCTCACCTTCCCGGGAGGAACGCTCGTTTTGCCCATCGCTGGGGTTTTTGCTGCGGGGCCTGGCAGACAGACGCACGGCTGCAGCGGAGGGTCAGGCAGTCCATCCCCCTGCCTGGCCGGGAGTCAGAAGTCTGTCTCCTGACAGGCCACACAGACCGCTGCCTCCTTGCCGGGGGCTCATTCAGGCCTGAGCCGCCTCTGAACAGTTCTGTCTGGCAGCGGGAAAGGTAGGGATGGTGTGGAATGCTAGATGCCTTGGGGGCTGGAGTTGCGGCCTCTGTAATTGCCCCGCCAGTTTGACCTCGGGTACAATGGACGGCCCTGCCGTGCTGAGGACTCTGTCTCCCTAACGCAGATCTCTCCCTGGTGCCCTAATACTGTTTATCCTCCTAACGAGCGCCCCAAATATCCTGGCCAATCAGTCAAGTCCCTGGTCTCGGGAAAGAGGGGAGGGGGGCAGCTCTTCCTTCTACCAAGCTTCCATCTCCGTGGGTGGTCTCATATTTTACTGCCACATCAGAGGCACCAGGAAGGAGAATATTATAAAACTGGCGCTGGCTGCCTGGGGTGGGAAGTCCCTATTTGGGGAGGCGGGATGTGGTGTGAGAGAAAGATTTATGAGCAGCGGGCACCTAGTCTTTCTCGGCGGTGGCAGGGGCAGAAGGAAGAGGAGAATTAGCACAAACAGGATCCACCTGTGTCCAAGCAGCTCCCTTCCAATAAACCCGTCTGGGATGTGGAGTCGAGGTCTAGGTCTCGGCGATGCCCTTCCCAGGGAGGAGAGGTCAGGCACATTCTGTCTCAGGCACAGCCGCCTTCCCACAGGTCGCCCCCGTTGGGGGAGGGGGAGGGAGAGGGGGCAGGGAGGCAGGAATTCAGTTCCATTAAGGTATTCTC